TATTTTTTTAAATGGTTTCCTTTTAAGGGTAGAGTGTAGGTAACACGAATTTCACTATGATACTGTTGATAAAAAAAATTACATAATACTCTGAGTCATGTGATGTGCTAAATATTACATCATGATAACAATCATCATTCTATATTTATTGTAACAGTTGCGCCATAAATTGCGCCACATTACACATTTCTATTTTTAACTTATTTTATGACATAACTATTTACTTCGAATTATTAATCAAATTATTTGTATTGCTCAGTTGACCCAAATATTTAGTAGCATTAGTAATTAGCAATCAGTAAGCTAGTAATACAGAAAATAGGATTAATAAGCATATGTTATTGGGCAAAATATTGTAAAGGTCATGTTATTTGTAATACCTCAAGAGGTATAAAAAGGCTTGGTTTTAGACCAAGTGAAAATAATGTGGATTGTATTAATAACATTCATAATAATTATAATAATTGAATAAATACCCCCCCCCCTGATTTGATTGTTCTATGCTGCTTGTAGGGACACCTCAAGTGGTATAGTTGTAAATATTTCTTGTATGTATTCTTTTTATTTTATTTTATATTTTTAGGCTTATGCCAGCAGTACTTAGCATTAGCACTGTAGAGAGAGAGAATTGCACAATAGAGTATTTTGAGTAGGCTCTGAGCTGTGTGCAGATACAGAGACCTGGTATAGAGTATTGAGAACCCTGAGCTGTGTGTGGTGGATACAGGGAGATTTATATATTGGACTTTTATATTTATTTTATATCTTTTTATTGGACACATCATGAGCTGTATTTTGCACACTTGCAATATTACTGTATATAATAATAATGTTATCATGCATTACTACTATACATGCAGTTCAAATTGGTTTGGTGATTTTGATGGTAGAAAGTAGAAATTAATTATGGCATTCACTATTAAAAACATAAGTGTAGCACCCCTTTACTACATGTGTAACCCCCTTTATGACAGTGTCAAAATACTTTGGGCTCCATGTATAATTATTACACTAATATTTTTAATGATTTGCAGTCTACTGTATCATAGTAAATTTCATGTTACTTACACTCTACCCTTAACTTGTAGTTTGATTATTTATGGCCTCAAAAGTTGTTGAAGCTAAATCAAAAGGATAGGATTATTTATTAAAAACTTGATCATTTTAGAATTATATAATTTATTCCTTTCAGTTTTTATGAAAAATCACACAACTACACTCTACCCTTAATTTTAACTAAATAAAATAAATAATAAAAATTAACAAAGAAGGGTCATGTCACAAAGGTTCAATACACCCAACATGAGCCACCCACATGAGTTCCACCTTCAGTCACACAGGACTTTACAGCTGGTCCAAAGTGAGGCATACACAGACACAGGGTGTCCATAATGAGTACTTCATCATTGCATGACTTTTCCTCAGACTATTATACCAATTCTATGACTTATATACCAATTCTTTTCAAGTTGTGCAAAATATGGGATACTAACCAGTCTACAACATTTCATTGGATAAATTCACTTGATAATTTTTATTGTGTAATAACTATTAAATACAAGATGTATGACAACATATGAAGCAAGTTTGTAAAATATACTGATGAACACTTATCAATTATTAAATTTTGCAAATGAATGTTCATCAATTATTGAATAGCTTGTATCAAAGTAAGTGCTAAAGTCAAGATCTATGGAGTTGTTTGTAAAATATATTTATTCAAATAATTATATAGGCAGGTTTGATCAAAGTGATAAAGACAATTTATACATTTTATTAATTATTTAACTTTAATCAATATAAAGTCAGAAGTATAAAACAATCACTAATAAAATGCCTTTTAGTTTTTGCTGAAATTCTTCAACTATTATATTTCTATAAAATAATTTTTTGTGAACCTCTCTAAAACTTATTAACCAATACCCCCATAAAGTAATGACCATATGAAAGCTTACTATCAAGTCTTTTAAAGCGATATTGAGAAATAATCTGAGGTTTAAAATGAAAAAGTAATACCGTTTTTGAATAGCTGTGAATTCATGTAGAGAAGACCTTTCGATATGAAAGAATATTCATTAGAAAGCTTTAATGGAATACTTTCATTTTACTCTAATAACAAAGTTAGAGTTTATTATCGAGGTATTTTAAAAAAAACTTCATGTGACACGAATTTCGAATTTAATATTAATATTAATATTAACAGCCTCAGGGAAATGTCGCACGACTAATAAGCCGTTATGCAAAATTTCTTAATATTAATGTTAACGCTAAACCCGTTACGACCCGGTAATCCGTTAACTACCGGATAAGGTCTTAACGGGTCGTAACACTAATTATGGAATAGAGATGTCAATGCAGCTAGGAAACATCAACACATCTTCCATCATATGTGTGAAAATCATGGGGACTTTTCAGCAGAGGTTAATTCCAGTAAGGCTAGATCACTCATACACATACTCTCATATATATAATATGGTTTTAAGTAGGTAATGCCAAGCCTGGTAGCATTATATTTTTAAAAGTAGGAAGTTCATACTTTCTAGGTTAGTATTAATTTATAAATATTTTTTAGAAATTTGTCAATAATTTATAATAATATTCTTTGGTTCATTACATTCTCACCGTTAATTAATCAAATAAAAAAGACATACAATGATAATTAAACAAAAATGAATTCTATAACAAAACATTGATCATATTATTAGTTCTATATGAAATAATCACGTCATTTGCGGCCTTTCTTTCCTTCAGCTTGTTGAGCTAATCCATGTCCAGCGTCTTTAATATGTGTAAATAATTTATTCCTTGTAGGAAAAGATTGTGAACACACATTGCATTTATTCTAATTATTAAATGAAAAAAAACAAATAAATATTTGTTCCATTAAAAAATTTTTTTATAATTATGTTAATTACCTGATCATTGCCAACCTTTTTTTTGTTTCTCTTTTTCTCTTTTTTATTATTATTATCATTATTTTCATCCTGGTTGAGTTTTTTAACATCATTTAAGAAATATGGAATTGCTGTATTAGAATCATCATCAGATTCAAAACCACGAGAGGAAATTTTGGTTTTATCTAACAACTCTGAAATATCTGAATCAATTTCATCATCTTTTTTAGATTTGTTATTTGATTCTATCTTTACATGTTGATCCATATATTCTTCATCATATATCCGGCTATTTACTTTCTTCTTCTTTTTTTGTTTTTTGCTTTTTTTTGAAGTTGAAAAATATATATTATCTTCGATATCAACATTATTTTTTGAAGAAATTTCAATGTTTTGTAGTTTTGACTCCACGTTGACATTGGCATTATCATCGCCCGAGATATGATCAATTACATCTTCTTCATGATTTGAATTCGCGTCAATTAATTCTTCGTCTTCATACATTTCTGCTTTCAGTAATTCAATGTTTTTTAAATGTTTGTTGCTCTTTTCATGATCCTTCCATGATCCTTCATTTTTATAACTTTTATTACACGCAACACAAAAGAGTTCATTATTTATTTCTTCATAATACTCATCATCGTCATCATCATCCTCTTCAATTTTAGTCCAATCCTGTTCTTGATACTCTTGCAATTTTGCAATATAGTTTGCACGATCTTTTGCTGCACGCTTTTTCATATCGGCTGCCAAAGTTTCTTTTTCCTTTTCCGAAGCTTCCTTATACACCTTATATCGTGGATCTCTTTTTTGCACAAACATCACCAATAACTGATTACAAATATAAATCGTTAAAAATATATTTTGTATTAGTGCCATAAATTATTTTAGGCCTACTTACCCGTACAGTGTCATTGTATTCTTTACGACCAGTTTCTCTAGCTTTCTTATTGTCAATTTCCATCTGTCGTTTAATTCGACGTTCTGTTGCCTACTTTATTAACATTAAATATTTATATTTTTTTAATTTTTTTTTTCAATATCAAAAAAACACACATATGCATATATAATATTAATTACACCAGCATTTAGTAAGAAAGACTTACCTCTGATAAACGATATTTGTCACACCATTTAAAACTTTTATGTGTTGAAAAATTTAACCATATACTATAAAAAAGTTTAATTGGGTTTTCACAACTTGAGGCATTCATATTATGCGATGTCATACTAGTTCCAAAAGGTGGATATGTATAAGATTCATCTGAATTTTCTCCGCGATCGTATAAGAATGCTTGTTTTTCTTCTTCAGCTAATTTTTGAAAGAGTTCTCTGTACACAGTATAGAAACCCTAATATATTTTTGTTATAATAGGACGATAATATTTTGTTTATTATGGTGATTTTAAAGATTAAAAAAATCTTATCAATTAAATAAAAAACCTTCGAACTATCATCAAATCCTTTATAACAACTAGCACTAAAATATTTCATTAAATCTTCTATTCTTGTTCCTCGTGCTATATTTGTATATCTGCTTCCTGATGCATATTCATTATCAGAGCTATCATCCTCATAATCGCTATCATCATCTATTATGAAATGATTAATATTACATTATTAATCATTAAAAAATTTGGAAAATTATAGACTAATAATAATCAAATCAATACTCGCCCTCTCTTAAAATAGCATCACGATGACCATCATACCTATTTTGTAATAAAATATCAAGCGATATAATATGTAAATATCAAAAAAAATCAAGTTAATTATTATTATAATAAATGTCGCTAACCAAGTTCTTTCGTTAGGATCAGATAAAACTTCATAAGCTTCTTGAAGAAGAGAAAATTGTCCAGTTGCTTCTTCAATCCTATGATGGTTTTTATCTGGATGCCATTCCAATGCTCTTCTACGATAAGCTTTTTTAATTTCATCTTCGGTTGCATTGGTTTGCACCCCAAGAAGTTCGTAGTAACAAGTACGCATTTTATTAAAATAAAATATTATTTAAATTTTGATTGTGACCGCAGCAAGCGTCTTTTAAAAAAAAAATTTCTTTTTACGTGAATGAGAGATCATTGTGTAAATCATTAAGAGATTATGGATGATTATATATATCAACCATTATCTGTTACTGAGGAAAATGCCGACGAACAGGTTTTAATTAAAGATGGAACTCTGTAAGAAAAAGAAAAAGAAGTTGGTAATTCCTTAAACTTGTAAATAATTTCTGCTCTTGTTAATTTATTTAGTACAGCAAAAAAACCGGTACCAATTGAGGCTATTGAACGTAACCATTTGGAAAACAAGACACGATCATCCTTTGATCGAGTATTCTTACGTAGATTTTTTCGACTTCTCAAAATATTGTTTTCAGTAAAAACACCAGAGGGCAATTGTATTTTTATATGTTTTATGTTGATGTTAACAAGTGCTATCAACGAAATCTTGGCATACTTTGTTGGAAAAATTCCTTCAAAATTTTACACAACGTTGGTTGGAATTGATGGTGCACATTTCAAGACATTATTGGTTTATTCAACATGTATTGTTTTATTAACTGGTTTGGTAAGTGAATTTCAAAAAAAAAATAATTGATTCCAAGAACTAGAATAATTGAATGAAAGAGTGAAAGGGTAGATGAAAATGGATTGATTGACAAATTAAATCAATGGATAAAATTGATTGACTGATTTTATGTTTTAAATAGGGAAGAAGTATAATGTATTTTGTTGGTGGGCTTTTTGAATTGTTGACAAGAAAAGTTTTAACAAGACATTTACAAAATAAATATGTTAAGCCAGATATATTTTATAGAATACTAATTACAAGACATGATGTTGATAATCCGTATGTACTATTATAATATTGATATTTAAATATTTCATCATCCTTATTATTAATTCTAAATATTATTATTATCAAACCTAGAGATCAGCGTATAACTCAAGATGTTGACAATTTTTCTAAATCATTAAGAATAATTTGTCAAAATACAATACTTGCACCATTTTTAATAATTTATTATACTTACTTGACATGGAATATTAGTGGATATTTGGGACCATTAATTATTTATTTATATTTCATATTCAGTTTGTTTGCTTGCCGATTTTTAATAAATCCGATTTCAAAAATAATTTTCTTGAAAGAATTTCACGAAGGAAATTTTAGGTAGTAGGGGGATTTTTAAAATTTAAATGGTTTTTATTCACAATTAAATTAAAAATTACAACTCAAAAAAAAATTGTTAAATTCTTTAGATTTCTACATGTAAGAATCCGTCAGTTTGCTGAAAGTATTGCATTTAGTTGGGGTGAAAAAGCAGAAGAGGCTAGATTATCAAAATTTTTTGATTCAGTTCTTAATTATCAAAGACAAAGGATTGACAAAGAACTAGTGTTACGATGTATTTATTAATAAATTTTTTTAAAAAATATATATATTGTTTTCAATTACTAATAAACAAAAAATACAATTTTTATTATAGCTTTAACTGAATCAGTTGCATACTTTGGATCAATACTGAGCTATCTTATTATTTCCATTCCTATTTTTTTAGGCGAATACGATGATACCGATAAAGATGTACTTAGTGGATTAATTAGTTTGGTAATAAATAAAATAATTGTTTTTTTTAGTTTCACAATAAATAAATTATATATCGATAAAAATTATTATTACTTTAGAATGCTTTCTTCACATTATATCTTATTGGTAAATTTACAAGTTTGATCGAAGAGTCAACCAATGTTTCGAACTTGGCAGGGTTTACTGCACGTATAGGACAATTATTAGAAGCACTTGATGATGTTAATGATGATATTAATGGTGAATTAAACAATATAAATATTAAAGATCAATCATTAGATCTAAGAGAAGCAACGGGAGAATTCGTAACATCAAGGTGAAAATAATAATATATTAAACAAAGAACCTTATTAAAAATTTTGATTTTAGTAATGCTCTTCAAATTTAAATTGTAAAAAAAAAGATCCGAATCATCATCAATTATATTTGATCAAGTAACATTTGATACACCATCAGGCGCAACACTTTTAGAGGATTTAGAAATTGTTATTGAACAAGGAAAAAATTTAATGTTAATTGGCCCAAATGGTAGTGGTAAAACTTCAATCTTGAGAGTTATGTGTGGTTTATGGCCAACGAATAAAGGTCAAATAACAAGACCGAAAATGAATATGAATTCAAGACAACATTTATTGGTTTATTTGCCTCAAGTTCCTTATTTAGTATATGGATCTTTAAGAGATCAAATCACATATCCAGTGATCAATGATCCTAAACAACAAAATAGTATGTGTATCACACATATATATACTTGCATACTATTATCAATAATTATAAAATGATAATAAGATTTTATTAATTTATATATTAAATTGTTATTATAGTTTCAGATCAAGAATTGAATTCATTATTGGAAAAGGTAGAATTAACACATTTAAAATCTTTAATACAGAATTATGATTCGAGGTATGGTGAAGATTGGAATAGAATTTTAAGTCCTGGTGAACAACAAAAATTATCATTTGCAAGATTACTTTATTGGAAACCATTATATGCAGGTAATCATCGTTAAAATTGTTTGTTTTCAAGGGAGTAATTAAATTTTAAATTATTTATTTATTATGATTGTTATTGTTATTGTATTTTAGCACTCGATGAAGCTACAAATTCACTTGATTCTGATTTAGAAAAAAAATTCTTCGAGATCATGAAAGAATTAAAGATTACAATGATCACAATTTCACATAATATGGGATTATTAAAATATCATGATAAAATATTATTATTAGACGGCAAAGGAAAATATTATGTGAATGATATTGATCTTCAAAATAAAGAAATTACTGACAAATGGATTGAAGAAAAATTAAAAAATTAAAATATTTAATTATCGATTATTCTTATTGTGTTTTTATTTATTTATTTATTTAATAGATTTTATTTTTTATTTATTTTTTTTAAGGTATTTACAAATTATATAAATTTATTATTATTAATTGATATTAGTTAATAAATTTCATTTGTAACCACCTCTTTTTAATATCATCATAATTCATTTAGGTAAATTAATATATCGACTTGTTACATCACTCAACGGTGTTCTTTTCTTTTCTTTTACAATTTTTTGTTTTGATTTAGGACTATTATTATTACTATTATTGGGCGGTGATGCTATTGTTGATTCGCTGGTTAAACTTCTGTTGGTAGTCTCACCTAAAGGAGTTTTGACAACGTCATCAACAGATCTTCTATTATTAACACTATCATTGTTATCAATATCATGATCACTGCTACTTTCAACATTAGTCACTATAATATTAGAATTGATTGGGGCTGATTCGCATGTTGTTGAATTTTTTGTTGTCTGATTGCTAATATCACCTAAAGGAGTTCTTTTTCCAACTTTTGTTCTGCTAAGTGATAGGTTTTTCTTTTTGGGGCGTTTTGATGGTATGATTGATAACAATTCATTGTTTGTTGTTGTTTTTATATCTTCATTTGTCTCGGGATTTATGGTAAAGCTAGATTTTTCTTCAATTTGTTTGTTCTTTATTTGGAGAAAAGTGTTTGTAGATCTTAAGTTGTTATATAAATTAGATATTCTTTATATATATATAAAAATAAATTTTGAATACTAACATTACAAGAAATTTCCAATTGAACTTCATCATTTGATAATACATTTTCAATGTTCGATGAAGAAGATTCGTTATCTATGTTCTCTAATGTTGTTGTTAGTTTATTATCAATATGATCGTTTATTATTAACTTATCAGTATTGTCATCATCATTTATCGTTAAATCATTCTTCTTCTTATCATCATCATCGTCATCGTCGTCATCATCATTTGTAGTTGATTTATTATTATCTACGTTCTGAATATTTGATATTGATTTATTATCTTCAGTCAATGATTTATTACTATTCTTCTCATTTATTGCTATTGTTGTTGGCGATGATAATGATAAATTGCTATTATTATCTTCAATAGCATGTCTTGAAGTTTCTTGCCTTGCCTTCTTGTTAAATAAAGGCCGATCTTCCATAAATTCACGAGCCTTTTTTATCAAATAATAAATAAATCATATTATACGGATGTAAGTAATAAAATCATATGCATATTTCATAATCACATTATTGTTGAATTGTTATATTTCCATACAATTTCTGCTATAAGTGGGTCATCAGGATTCGGATCAGCCATCAAGATGCTTAAAGATGTTAGTGTAGTAGAAATGTTTAATGAAGGTTTCCATGACCCCTTAGATATATGTTTGCGTGAAGAAAGGTAAAACAAATAAATAGTTAATTAATTTATTTGTTTATTCACATGGCGATGTTCAAATGGAAGAGACCACCTACTTTAGGAGGCATTGTTAAAATATCAAGACAAATTCTACCAACATCATCAATATTTGGATGATAAATTGGTGTCAAGAATTGCATTCTGGGTGGTTCTAAAGGATATCTAAAATGTAATAAAACGTGAATTAAATAAATAATGGCCGCACGTTGATAAATATTATCGATCAGTTATTAATCATTTAGTTACCTTGGAGGAATAACAACGTCTACTTTGAATATACCTTCTTCATATGGTGTATCCTTTGGGCCTTTTATTCCTTTTTAGATGAGACAAGTTATTTTATGAAACAAATTCAATTTCATCAAAAAATCATGCAAGTAAACAGATAGAGATAACATACGTGCACAGAAATGCATTAAACTATCATCAACAGGATAACATATAATGCCTGGAGGTGGATCACGCTCCAATATTTCTGATTTTTTTTTTGAACATTTTAGTTAGTGCATGTAATTTTTATTAATAAACACAGTTTAGACATTATAATTTATTTTTCAAAGATAATAATACAAACCCAATTCGCGTTTCAAACGAGGAAGAAGGTTACTTGAACACATCTTTTCAGATAGTGTAGATAGATATAAAAATATAAGAATGACAAAGATATAAAGTATTTGTTTTTGTTTAAAAAAAAATAAAATAAAAATCGAATTTTATAAGATCGCGTCTAAACTATAGATTTAAAATTTACCTAAAAAGTAAATCTTGTGATTACACAAGCACGTATTATATTTACAAATTTGTACCTGATAAACATGAGCAATATAAAAATTCTTTTTTCGAGAAAAATATTTTCTAATTCTTCTAATTCTAAATTTTTCAAACAAGGTGGTAGGTTTGAATAGTTGTTTTCCACGGCTCGTAAATGTTATTTAATGGTTCACTGTGAGTATGTGATTACATCACCAAAAAATATTTTCATGTTTATATGACATTGAATTACATGAATTATCATCATATTTAGATGTTTGTGCGATTGTTTAAGAAATTTGGTTAAAAAGCGCCTTTTTCCTGTAAATTATAATTTGTCAATGACTAATTAAAGCTGTGATACTCATATTATTTACCTAATATAGAGAACTACTCCTCGTGGGAACAATGAAAAAAAGAATATATAATTCTTCTTAGATGGATATTTCTTTAAATTAATATTTATTTACTTTGTACAATTTGTACAATTATTACTAAGCTTTCATTCACTTTAATATGAAGTTTATTATTAGTCGCTATTCAATTAAATTAATAATAGCGAACGAACAAGTTTTTTAAGAGAATAAAGAGAATAATGAAGTATTGGTGAATCGTTATTTATAGCATGATCATCTTGATTGGATAAATTGTTCATTATTTTTTATTCAATGAAAATGATAGGACCTGAATTAAGTTAGTATGAGGGAGGACAACATAATATATATTAATTAATGCATATTGATGGTACCAATATCATGCAATTATATTTTACCGATTAATTTTTAAATCTTGATAAAAATTTTAAACACACACAAGATTCTTGAAAAATAATCAGAAAATTATTTTATATTGTAGCCAGCCAACCATTGAAAGATATAAATTCGCACTAATTTTTATTAATTGGCCCATTTTAATATATGAGCAACTTGGTGATAATAACCATTTTCAACCAAAGAATAGTAGTGGATCTGTACACTTTAGAGGAAATATAGTCTCAATCCAAGTATTCTTATGGAAGATCTGATTTCATAGTATGGACATTTCGATTATTTTTAATGCTAGTCAACATACAATTAATTATTTTATTATTTAAGAAAGTTTTGCAAGAATCAACCTGTTAATAATAACAATCATCAATTAATGGCATCGAGCAAGATCAATACACATATCATGTCGTTCATTGTAAAACAAAATTTACTAGTGCGAGATTATTATGTCAAACTTATTAGAAAAAGAAAGGAAGAAGAAGAAATTTAATTAATTACAGGCATCGTATTGACACAAGATAGTATAACAAAGAGCATTAGTTAGGATTATAAACAATCAAATAATTAATTTCGAAAGGGAAAAAAATCTCACACCTTCTCATAATTTGTCATCAAATAGTACAATATTTATACAGAGTAAAGGTTATTGTTATCATTATTGTAATAAATATAATGAATGGATTTTCAATAAATAGATTAAGCCGCAGAATAAACACTTAATATGAATAGTAGGTTTTAAAATTGTAATCTTAATAAATTACACTTTAAAAAAATTTTTTTTGTGATCAAAATCAAAAAAAAATTTTTAAGAATAAAAATTTTCTCTTTAAACTCTTTCTCACAATATTTACATATTTATATATTTATTTACATGTCTAAATTCACATAGCCGAATTTTTTTTTTAAAAGTAGAAAAAAAGGAAGAAATAAAAAGAATTCAATTGCATATACATATACATATATTACTAATTATACATTATAACATGCGATGGATGAACTTTTTTGGTGCAATGATTATATGTATGCAATAGGCTAAATAACCTTAAAAAAAAATATACCATTATACTTAATCTACTAAATAACAACAGATATGGTTACAAATAAAAAATCAGTACACGCGGGAATATTTTTCACCTTCCAAAGCTTTAAAATAATTCATTAACTAATTAATCCAGAGAATGTGAGAGTAAATATTTATATTATATATGCAACTTACCTTCTTTATTATTTATCATTGCAAAAAATAATAAATAATAAATAATAATTTTCCAGAACAAGTAAAATTTTTCATCTTAACGACAAACAACACCTGTTAAATTCCATTAATTGTTAGTTTATAATTAAAATTTCTCGCTAAGCCAAAAGAATCCAATTGTAATAAATTATATAAATGCGCTGGAGTAAAATGCGACTTTTTCCAAAAAAAAATTTTTTTATAATTTGACGATGACGATGACGACGATGATGATAATGACAGTGATGGTGTGGCAACCTTGATTATTATCATACTTATTATAATTATTATTGTTGACTATGTTGAACAATAATAATAATTACATTGATGTAAACTTGTCAATGCTTCTCTCTAAGTCTATATAATGTTGAGTCACGTCTCACCATAAAATAATATTATAATAATGAAAAAAATTTTTATAAAAAAAATTTTTTGCTGTTGAAAATAACTTTAATCGGGTGTGATTAACATCACTCATGTCCATCATAAATTATAAATCATCATCACACCACCAAATCGAACGTGATTTGTTGATTATATACCTATATAAATATATAAATACATATAAATATATTATCATACATATTAAAAAAATTTTTTTTTTAATGTCCTGTATAGATTTTTTTTTTTTAGACATTTTGTTTTTTCTTCACTCACCACCACTTTTCCTTATCTTTTTTCTTTGGTAGTGATGATGGTGATGGTGGTGGTGGTGTTGTTGATTATCTTATATTGATTAATGACGATAATGATGTTGTTGTTAAAGAAGAATTGGATCATTAGATCATTCGTTTTGCTCTCATCAGCATATTCGTAGTAATTAAGTTGTTCTTTTTTCTTACTAAAAAAGCCTTTCATACAATTCGCGAAGTAGTTTTTCATATTTAATAATTTAGTTGTTCATTATAATTATAAAGATTTTTTAGAAAATATTATTTACCTTTTCTACTTTCTCTTTCCTTTCTTCTGATCGCCCAACTACAACACATCTAATAATTATAATTACATTGATTTAAAAACAAAAGTAACTTCAGTTTTAATATAAAATAGGGGGAGGGATATTATTTTTAAGAATCTTTACAAAAAAACATTTTTGGTTTCGCTTACCCTTCAATCCAAAATCTTTTATATTATAATAATTATCATTATTATGTTCTTTTTTCAATTGAGCGTTCTATTTATTATAATTTTGTATCAATTGGAAAGAAAATTATTAATAAGTGTATTTCTTTTCTCCAAGAGATCAATCAAAATCTATAATATGGACTAGTTTTTTTTTAAATACCTTCTACTTTTCTCTTTTTTTCATTATCATTACATTATTATATATTATTGAAGTATCCCTCTATTGAAATCCTTTCTAAAATCAATAATTGATGAGGAGGAAGAAATTGTTTGCCTAATGGATAGCAAATAGTATTGATAATAATAATAATAACCCTATTAATTAATATTAATGATAAAAATCAATATTCACCGCATTATCATCAAGACAATATCAATCATCGGGACAGATCAAGCCATCACACACCATATATACGTCTCCATCATCGTCACCACTACCTTCACATATATTCGCCGTCATACCATTTCTCCGGTTCTCCCAACCTTTTACACTCTTTTATTTTTCATGTCTTCTTGATCGATCGATCGATTGGTAATTATGTATGTCTATGATTATTATTAAATAAACAAAAAATAATATAATTATAAAAAATTAAGGTAATTTTTTTTCCTTCTAATTATTTTCTAAATATATATTATTTTTCTTGTTTTTTTTTCTCTATAATCACTAACACCAATTCATTCATTCATTAATTAATTAATATTCAAGCAAAAACTAACAATTAATTATAAATATAAAATCATTATTAAATTAATCTAAAAAATTATATAATAATAATAATATGAAATAAATCAAGGTAAAAATATTCTCTTTTTTTGTTTTTGAAAAGTATTGCTTAAAATAAAAAACTTTATTTAATAATAATAACCAAAATTCTTTTTTTTTTTTAATAAAAAAAAAAATAAAAAAATAAAAAAACCATAGATAAAGAAATAAAATCATAAGAATAATAATATATATATATATATATATATATATATATATTATTTATATAATATTTAAGAAAATCCCAACAAAAACAAACCAAAACATTTAAAAAAATAAAATAAAAATCACGAAAATAAGATTTGGTTGTTTCTGTTGGGACATATATGTGTATATATATAATTTTAAAATAAAAAATAAAAAATTATTATTTTATAAAAATACTTATATATATATTAAAAGATTAATCCATAAAAATCTTAAATTTTTCTAACAGAAAAAGAACCTTAAAAATAATCAAAATTAAATAATTTAAAAAAAAAAATACCACAATCTAAAAATTTCATTTTTTTTTGTGGTAAATGCATAATTATTAAAAAAAAAATAAGAAAAGGATCTAAGAAAAAATCATAATTTACCCCGCAACCATCCAAAAAAAAATTTTAAAAAAGAAAAATAAAATTAATATTATATATTATATATAAGTATATAATATATATATATATATTAATCCCCAAAATTAATTAATTTTTCTTTACAAAACATCCACACCGCCAGCTCCGCTATAACCACTTCTTCTTGTACGTGTAGAAGAAGATGATGAAGAGGGAGAGGAGGAAATGGCATCGTTGTTGTTAACGGTTGAAGTGGTGGTGGACGTTGATGCAGAAGAAGTTGTTGAAGATCGACGAACGTCTGTAAAATTTTCATCAATAATATTGTATTCATCGTTATCGTTGTTAAGTATTTGATTAACAGAGTGCAATTGAATATTATTTTGGGGAGTAGTAGCAGTGGGTGAAGGTGAAGATGAGGATGTTGAAGATGTAGTTGTTACGATAAGTTGTCGATCAGGTAAAGGCATAAGTGAATTTTGGATTGAGTTATTAGTGATATCAGTAGTAGTGGTGTTTGAATGATATTGTGCTGCATTACGACGAACAATATCCATCATAGGTCCTAGAAGACGTGTAAAATTATCACGTTTAAGTGCTAATGCACGCACTAAACCTTGAGCCACCACAGTTGTTTTGTTACGTGGTGAATTATTGAAAAGTGTAAATTCTAATATCGACGATGATACATTGTATTATATTGTGAGTAGATTAATTAAAAACCAATAATAAATAAACGGTAATAATAAATATGAATGAAACATACCACCAAAATAATTTCCATTTGAAAGAGGAGCTAATTGTTTTTCGATACCATGTTCGCTTTTACTAACACTAACATGACCTTCTTTGATAATATAAAAGTAATCACCAAGATCACCCTGAGAAATGATCGTATCACCGTTTTCAAAGGACATAGGTTCTAAAGCCTCAGCGAGTTTTGAGATTTCTTCATGATTTAACGAAGACAAAAATGGTATGGATCTTAATAAATTTTTATAAATGCTTTGTTTACGATGAGAATGGTTTGAAACTGTCCGTTGAAAAGTTTCTCTGCTAATTGCCCAAAGATTCCCATCTGTTTTAGCCACAACCGTTGCAGTACGAGCAACCTAAAACACAATATTTTATGATAGTAATAATAACAATGTCATCATCATCATCATTATTATTAAATATACAGATTTATAAATATTATAAATTTATAAATTACATACATTATACATTAAAGCGTGTTCACCAAAGCTGCTTCCATCTGCAAGCTCCAAATACAAACGATTGTTGTGTATTACATGAAACATACCATGATCAATTACATAAAAAATATCATCTTTATCTCCTTGAGCAAAAATTTGTTCGTTCTTTTTTACAATTCTTTCATACATTGCATCTATCTATTAATATTAATAATTTTTATTTTTAAAAAAAAAATCATAAATCATTATTTCATAATGATAAAACAAAATAATTACATACCACATCGAACTTTGTTTCTCTATCGATATCTTTAAAGAGCCAGTTTTGAAGAGTGGCACAGTCTAGACGTTTTTTGAGCTCATCAGACTTGGGATAGACTACACGATCGTTAGGATCTTCGGAAGGTCGGATGGATTCGCCACTTACAGACTGACGACGATGAGTTGGATAATTTTGAGTATGATTATTAGTGTCATTATTACTTTGATGCAAACTAGGTAGAACGATATTGTTGGGTGGAGATGGGGGATGATATGCGAAGAAACGTCTTTGGTCATCATTAAAGTTTTGAAATGGAATATGTTGATCGAAACCAGACCCAGGATTATGGTGATGACGATGGTGATAATGGCTTGTATTATGATGATAGGGAGGAGTTCTAACTTCCATTATTCTATTTTATTCATGTTTTATTATTATATTAATTTAATAATGTTAAAGTTTAAAATAATATTTTTATATTATATATTATAATTATAAATACAATATATATATAAGCATACATTGTTTCCTCTTCTGTTCTTTGACGTTTTCTAGTAGTTTCGTCAGTTGCTATAAAAAAAAATTTTTAAAAACAAAAATTATTTGGCAAATATTTACATTCGACTGATCAAGAAATTAAAAAAAAATTTAAAATAAATAAACATTACAGGGTATGATCACGTGAACATTGATAACTTACATGATGTCGATGGTTGAGAAATATTCTACAATTATGCAATTAAATAAAATACATGGTGTAAATAAACGTGTAAAGAGTGTTACAACGAATGAAATGTTCGTGATTGTAATTGACACGTAAAATTTAAAATGCATTGCAAACCGATATGGAAATAATAAATAAATAAATAAAATATTAGTAAATATTATATCATTGCTGCGGATATTATATTAAGACATCATTTCGAGAAGATCGATATAATGGTAATTAATTATATTATGTAAGATTGATCAACTTACCGAATATGAAGGAGGAGGAAGAGGAGGTTGTTGTTGTCGTTGATTTTGTGGATTATTTTGTTGTCGTTGATTATGATTTTGTTGTGAGGAGGATGAATGTCTTCTCTTTTCTTGCATAATGATTATTTTTTAAAAAAAGTTTTTTTTTGGTAAGTAAGAAATTATAAAAAAAAAATTTTTATGTACTGATTATTATAAATAAACGTGAAGAAAAAAGAATAACAATTATAAAAAAAGAAGTTTTAGGAGTAAAGACCAATGAAATGAAGATTTATACGTTATAAAGAAAAGAGGAAATTAAAAAAATGAAGGGTTAAGAGAATTAAAAAAGAAAGAAGGTAAGAAGAAAATTTTTTTTTGATATTGATTTATATATAATAATATACAAGTAAAAAAATTTTATAATTGAAAAAAATAAAAAATATAATTTTTGTTTACAAAAATTTTAGCCAATAGTAATTGTTCTTTATAAAAGACCAAAAACTATTTTTGTCATTAAAAATTTTTGTCGATTTTAGGAAAAAAAAAATAATTATCAAATTTTTTTAATATATAAAAAAGTTGTATATAATAATAATAATGTATATATGTATATATATATATAACACGTTTCTAGAAATATTCTAATTGATTATAATTCTAATAAGAAGAATAATAGAATAGCAGTGTCGTAAAAAAATTTCCAAGTGAAAAGTGGCTATTTTAGTGTGCCACAATTGTCGTAAAAAATAAATTGTTATATAGAGAAGAGCACGCGAAAAAAAAGTCGCGTTTTTCGGTTTCTTTTATATAAAAATAAGTGTGGGAAAAAACAATTGGTGATAATAAAGTCGCTGCAAATGGACAGACAAAAAGGCTTTAGGAGGATAGTCATTAAAATGGATTGTTCTTTTTTTTTGTTGCAGCCACTGCACGACATCTTTACAAGGAAGAAGGGACAAAAAAAAATACAACAATGATCCAAGAAAAGGGGTTGTATAATTAAATGTGCAAATTTTTTATCAAAAAAAAATTTGGGGTATTAAAAAATTCCCCAATTTATATATAGTAAAAAAAATAATTTAATACTTACAATGATTATTGTTAGTTGATAATATTTTCGGATTGATTACGGGGTAAATAAGGATGGAAAAAGAAAGGAAGAGAGGAAGAAAAGAAAGTAGTAGAAAGTAAAAGAAAGAAGGATCTAAAAGATAAAAATCTTAATCTTGGTAAAAAACTATTAGAGTAATAAAATAATAATAGTAAAAGAACGTATAAAGGTAAGTTAATAGATTTATAAAAATTCTATTTACGCGTTCTAAAATATTCGCGTTTTTAAAGGTCAAAAAGAATAAATAAATAAAAAATTATTTATTTAATTAGAAATCAAAGGAAAAGAAGAGATCAAGAAGAAGTTTTAAAAATAAATAATTTACAAGAAAGAAAAAAATTTTTAGATGAAAGATGATGAAGATCAAAATTCATCAAACAGCACACACTATTCTCAATTCAACACTCTTATATGTTTTGGATTTTGAAGGGGAACGAATACACAAAAATTGAAAAATTTTTATTTAAGTTTAGAAACTAGAAATGTGTGTGATGATAATGATATGAATGGATTCTTGCTATAATCAAAAAAAATTGTGCAGTTAATTAAATAATAATAATAAAATTACAAAAAAAAATAATATTTTAAATATTTATTATATTTATTTAAATATTATATATATATAATTGGGATATTATAATTGGGATTATGTAACATATAAATAAATAATATTATTATATAAAAATATTAGGTAAGAACAAAAATTAAAAAAAAAAAAAATAAAAAAAGAAAAAGAAAAACAAGATGAAAAAGGATGAAAAAAAAATAAAATTTTGTAAAATTTTCTTTATAATTTTTCATGGAATAAATCCGATGATTTATACCAGAATTCACCTTCTGATAGATAAAGAGATTTACAGCAGCACAGTAATTAATAGCGTTGTTTGTTTGTTATTGATGTTTTTCTTCATTGATTGATGTGATCTTAATTAATAATAAATAATAAATAATAAATAATGTGGAATGTGTTTTTTATATAAAATAATAATAATTACAATTTATAACTATGATTTTTTTTTTTTGTGGGAGCGTGATATTATTAATTATTATTATTATAGAAATAGAAGATCAAAAAAAAAATATAATTGGTGTATTTTTTTTTGATTTCGTTCTAGTATCATTCAACTTTTTTCTTGTTTTTGTTATGTATAAGCACTCCCGAATATTTCTCCTAATTAACTATTAATTATGTGGGGGAAAGTATGAGAAAAGGGAGAGAAATTAACATAAATGTAGATTAATAACGTGGAATTATTTCCTTAATTCTCAAATTCCCACAACATTTTCCTTTGGGCGTCTTAAAAAATGTGATTAATAAACTTTTTTGACGGATGCACAAAACCTTTGATACTTTAATTAGAAATCTAAAAAATTTGTACTTTTGTACTTTTTTTTCAACTTAACTAATTAATTAATTCATTATTAAAACCCTAGAAATTTAAATTTTAAAATGATGGACGGACCAAAAAACATATATTTTTTAGGGAGTGACCCTACTTTTATACAGAATAAGAAAAAGGTAGTTAGGAAAAAATTTATACCGTTTGTGGATGTTTGATATTGTTACACGTGCATCCAAATTTGTAAATTGTCTGCAAAAGAACGGTAGCTCATACAATATCATACACGATTCAAATAATACCGATTGTTTTATTCTTTTGTTCCAATGGCCCTTTTTATCATTGATCAACATAAATTTTAATTTATTTATATTGAAAATGACATAATGATGACGATAAATATAAAAATGGGGTTGTGCATGTTGTGAATTGTCACCGATTTTCTTAAAAGGTATTAATTATTTTCAATTCCTTATGATTTTATGCACCTTGATGTAAGTCTTTATCATCTGTTATTTATTTATTTACCATTCACCGTTTTGCCGTCTATATTAATAATAATATACACGAATTCTATATTATATTATTATTTGTTTATCTCGCTCCAATCCATTCATCTCATTGTATGCATTATTATTATCGGTCGGTTATTATTTAATATTATTACTATTATTATTACTCTCGACCCCTCGTTCTTTTTTCTAAATGTCAATGAACACTATTACCGCAATTATAAATAAAAAGAAAGATAAGTAATCAATGAGACTATATACCTGATATTAATTAATTATATGCATAAAAAGTTTTCTTTTCGACAACCTTCGGTGTTAAACGAGGAAAATTTTTTTAATTTTAAAACGTGCAAATTAATTAGAAATTCTAAAAAGTCAAAGCCACCTTTTGTTTGTCATTAATGTTTTTCAAACAATGAAAGATAATGATAGAATAGAATAAAGAAAATAATAGTGGTAGTGGTAGTAGCAGTGGCAGTGGCAGTAGTAGTAATTTGAATGTTTATTATCTACTACTACCAAGATTCTACGATTTCTTCATTCTTCTCTTCATTCTTAGCCAATCAATTAATCTTACTAAAAAAAGTATAAAAAAAATTACTAATGATGCGCAGCAAAAAGTAGAAAATCAACGAACATATACTAAAATGTATTATGAAATCGACACGCTTTTTTTGTCCATTATATACGTGCTCGTGCTAAAATTTTTTTTTTAATATTAAAAAATGTTTAATGATTTATTAAAAATAAATAAATAAATAAATAAATACATATATATTTATTTATTTATTTATAATACATTGTTGGAATTTTTAAGTAATAATAACAATGGGTAAATTATTATTAGGTAAGAAGTGTGTTTTTTTCCCTAGTAAGAAAAAATAAAAAAAAATTTTATTTTATGTTATTTTTTATTTTTAAGAAGCTTTATATATGTGCGTCTAATATATACATATATATATTATATATATAGGGAAATCTAATAAACTTGTAAATCAAGAAAAAAAAATAATGCTTATTTTAGTGTTGACAATGTCAAATCAATCAATTAATAATTTAATGTGCTGGTACTTGCGCTAATTTTCCTCCCCTCCTTTAAATTTTATATAATAATATATAAAAACTTGTTCTAGTAATAAAATTTGGGGGTATTTTTCTAACCTATTGGTGATTGATTCTCAAAAAACTACACGCGTACATATTAAAAATGTTTATTTTGCCTATAATAGTTATTCATTCACAAATCATTTCCTAATCGTTAATTCTAATGAATGATCGATCACTCCAATCTATTATTATTGTATATTATAATCGGTAAGAATAACGAATGAATGACATACATAATATTTACGTTGCTTTTTTTACCTCCCCTAATTTCTATTAAAAAAATACGAGGAATAATTTTGTAGATCAATTATTAATATTTTCCTTTTTTTAGAAAACCTATAAATACTATGTATCCATCTTTCAAACTTCTTTCTCAAATTCTTCCATTTTGTATTTAATTTTTAATTTTTACACAAGGTAAAATACTTTATTTAGAAATAAATAAAAATATAAATAAATTTTATGCAAATCTTTATAAATTGGCGGGAAAAAATTTTATTCAAGTCGAATTATTTATTTAATTATGGTGGTTAAAACAAAATATTTATTTATAAATATAAATATATGTATGTATATATATATATATCACACTTTGTTTTTTCTTCTTCGATCTTCATCCTTGTCTTCTCCCTCGTTCCTCTTTCTTCCTAGCTAAAATATTATTCACGCAAACAAATTATATACAAATATACAAGTTGCACGTTCCTTCACTTGCATGAATATAAATTCTGTAATACATTACTTATCTTTCTAGCTAGACACTTTAAAGCATTGCTACCCGTGGTTATTTTGTATTTAGTTTATTGAATGAATTTATTAATATTGTTCTGGATTGTTTAAAAAAATAAAATAGAATATAAATTATTATTAATTAATTAATTGTTAGTAATGGTGATAAATAGTAATAATAATATATTCTACTCGTGTAAAAAACGTGTTATAATCTTCTTCAAGAACTAAAAATAAAATTCACATGTTAAATAAATAATTCTAAAAAAACATTTAAATTTTCCCATCATTTTGATTTTTAATTTAACCAACAATTCATCCATTCAACTGACCAAACAAACTGATCAAAAATTAACCCACGCCACTCTCTTTTTTTTGAGCACAATTTAATTATACCCTAAAATTATACGATGATTTGTGAGCATTATTTATTATGCCCCGGATTCGTACTTTCAGGGATCCTTTACAAGCATATTAATTATTTTCTAATAACGAAATCTAATACAAATCGATTGGTTTTTTAATGGATTCTAAAAAAATTTTGGAATAATTGAATAAATTGGATGATGTTTGGATATTTACACTCAATTCAATTAATATCATCGTTTATCATAGCAAATTATGGATAATAAATAAATCTCAATTGGTTGGATGGATACAGTTAACACACAATCATTATAATGAACTCTCATTTTGTATATATTTTTTGTGCCTCTGTTATAGAAAGATTTTATAAAATGTTCACTATAGAGAGAGAAATATTTTAGTTATAAAAAAAATTGAATTGGCGTTCGTTATAGTGTGATTTATTCAATAGTCACTGTATAAGGTCTGTTATAGTGGGTGAGAGTGTGAACTACAGCTTCCAGCATCTAATTATATTTTAATAAGAAGAATTAATGTTCTTTTTATTAAATTCTATGATTCTATAAAAAAACCCTCGCCTACCTTAGTATATTAATATTACGGATCAATAAGACAATGAAATTATTTACTGGAAAAACATTCGAGTAAATTAACATTAGTAATGTTGAAGAAAACATTTCATTCCTTATTACGCTTTTCTTCTATAATAAATATGAATTTAAAGATATTTGCAAATAATAATAAAATGTATATTATATTTGTTACCATATATATATACACACAGAGAGAGAATAGATATCGTATGAGAAATTTAGACTAAAAAAAATTTTATTCAAAAAGAAACAAATTTATTTGTTACATAAATCTAGTTTTTACACATCATGTCTAAATTGAAAATTTTTTTTTTAAATTTTAATATACGCGTCATTCATCATCGTCATTAAAAACCAATTATTATAATAATTTTTTTTTATCAAAGTGTTCAATTCAAAATTTTCAAATTATGTTAAATTGGAATAAGATGACAACAATATCATACTTACTTTTGAAAAAGAACAATATTTATCTGAAAGTCACAACAATTCTTACTCACCACAAAATAATCAGTACAATAAAGATATTAATATTAATAATAAAAATCCTAAGCCTACTTTCGGAAGACATGCTCTTTCAGAAACAAGACAACTATTTTTTGAATTTCCTATCCTGCTTACAGAATAAATAACAACAATAATCAAAATATAGATTTTAGTCGTCATAGTAATGCCTGGTGACAGTTCTCCAAGAAATTTAAGGAAATTTGTAAATCTGTTTCATACTAATACCTATTATGAATGTCTGATTTGTATCACCAATATAATTAGCTTTTTGTTGAAATGCGAGAAATGGGCAAAACAGTGTTGGGAGCGCAGGTGACCTTCGAGCTTGTTTGTCGTTCAAGGCTTCGAGCCAACCTGGAACTAGCCCCATCAAGCGCAGAATGACCTTCGAGGTTGCTTTGTTGTTAAGACTTCGAGCTGATTCGGCGGACGGCTATTTAATCCTTAATTCTCGATTATAATGGCAGCGATAATTAATTGTTAGTCGAATGGACCAACTCTTACACTGAATAATGAGCCGCCTATGACTCGTGAAGATCCTATTGTAATTGTTGGTTGGTATTCAATCAACTAGAATCAGGCAAGGTTCTTCCGGTTCATATTTTTGTCATGATAAAGATAATAATGTGGTAGGTACTTTTAACCTGAAAATGAAGAACAATATGGTCAATTGAATACTAAATGGGCAGAATGGATTCATAGAAATCTATTCTTTTATTTCTTTTGTAGAAGCTGGCATGCTTTTTTTCATTCATTCTATTTTACAAGAATCGTTAATTATGCATTTTATGATTCGATTCCTAATCTTGGCTATATTTCAGAAGCTGCTACCTCACCACTTGTTCACCAGCTACAATTAAACATTGTTCCAAAAACAGAGGTGGTATGGCTTTCATCTCCTTCGTTTCACTATGACTACAGTATGTGTCATAGTAATACATCCACTTCTTATATAGAGAGAGGGTTAAATTTTCATTTATAGACCCGCAGATGACACGTGACAGAAATATTTGTGCAGTCTTGAATTTTCATGATAGATTAATAGCCTTTTGGCCTTATAATTTTCCATATTATTAGTCGGTAATTGAATAAAGTTTCACTATTATACTTTCAATTTCTTCATCAAAATATGGATCCTAAAAAACAAAAAAGGAAATATTTAATTAATCATTAAATTATAATTTCTTTCACAACTAAATTGTTAAAATTGATGCATCTACTTCATAATTTGGGCTGGCATTAAACAAAATTGGCCAGAATTATGAGGGATCAATTTCAAAATTTTTATAATACATCAAACTTTAAATCGACATGCATGTCAAAATTCCAACATAGTTCAATAGTTTTTAACTAGAATAATTGATTTACGTTGATTTTTTTTTTTCAAAGTTACATGAAAATTTAACTCGTGTCAATTTTAAGACCAATTATTTTGGATGTATTACTGTGACACGCATTACCTGAGGCTTTCAAGTATTTTTAAGTGGTTATAAAGTTGCTAATATATTTTTAAAGGAATATCCACGGTCTACCCGAATCTGACAATTCGATTAGAAATAATAGAAATAATGGTAGCAAAGTTATGTTAGAAGAAGAAGATGATCATAATAATAATGATGGTGATAGTGATGTTATTGGTAGTGGCCATAATAAAAAAGATTTGTTTGGACTAAATCACTTCAAATTCAAATTTGGAAAATTAGTAATTTTGGAGAAACATCGGTAATTAAACAGCACCTACTTTGGTTTATTTTTTTAGGTCAAGAACATGTATTTTATTATACTTTTTGTAATAATATCATAAAATAATTCTCACACACATTTTAAGATCAAGGATTAATAATTGGATGATCAAGTATTGTGATAAAGATGTGTTATGAATGTATGTTCCAAAGGATTTATCAAAATATAGATTATTACTGAATAAAAACAAATCTGAATCAAAATCATCTTTATTTAAAAGTGTCCAAATACCTTCTTCTTCTTCAGAGCTACAAGCGCCACATAATTCAAATATTTTTATTAAATCAGATCTGCTTCAACTCCATCATCAAGCCTATCAAAAAATGATAAATGATCATTACAACAAAGTCAAATTAAAACAACTATTACTACAACAAACATTAATACCACATGTCGTTCTTCTGGCCGTTTATCAAAAATTGTTTATCCGCATATTCATGTAGCTGCCATTGATAACGGATTGCCATTCCCGTTTAAACATCCTGATCAATGGCGTTTCTGCCCATATGGTTGGTCATTTCTTCTGAGTCTCTTGTAGGAACTCCATTCACCGAAAACATTTTCTTTCAATAACAAATGGTGGAAGAGACAATACATGAGTTACATCAACTTTTTTCTTTAGATGCTAATGAGATGTTTTCTAAACAGGTAACAGTACTAAAAGAACAAGGTTACAATATCGCGGAAATACTCAAAAAACATGATAAAGGTCCTTTGGCTCTTTGCGCAAGTCACAATTTAATGGTATGGAATATGATCGAATCTATTGAAGTACCAGAAGAACCTGATCATATGGAAAGTGGCAATGACAATAACAATTACCAGTCAAATAATATCGAGATTGATGGTGCTAGAAATTCATTACAAAATCTTGATTATGGAGAGGCTCCTAGTAGCTGCTTAAGTACTTTCTGGTGAAAAAGTCGTGGGCTGACAAATTTAATCGTATAAAAATAATTTTGCTTTCGACACAGTTGGTGAAAGAGAAAAGGACAAAACTTGTTATCATTGAAAAGATGGAGCTGGTAAAAGGAGGAACATGGTGATGATATATTAATATTTAAAAAATAAGGATTATAATAAAAATACATTATTGGATACAGTTGATTAGTCAACAGTTAATTCAATAATTAATTAATTAAATAAATAAAGTACAACGATTTTATTATATGATTGTTCGTTACAATATTACCAAGAGAAGTAAGTTATTATTCCGAAAAAAAATTATATTATTACATGTTAAAAGTTATATGTTATAAAACCATTGTAAATTAAATGACACATTATTATTATTAATAGTGCGAATCGAAATAGCCGAGGACATATGAAATTTATTAAAAGGAAGTTTTGTGTACTTGACCATAATGAGTATAAATTAAAGTTTTTCATCATCTACTGCGATTAAACAAGGATTAATATTAATATCAGAGTAAAAACGTATTCCAAAGAAAAAACTACTTTTCGTGGTGTAATATGAATTGTAATGTCTCTCCTCTTGTCAAATTTTCACATGAAAAATACTATTGGATACCGAAAGATAAACCTTAATATAAATGATCCAGAAATCCTATTATTACTCTCAGTCTTTTAAAGTTTACAACTTGATAATTGACTCCAAGTGAAATAATCTGACTACATTGCAAATAACTTCTTTAGCATTGACAAATTCTTAAAGGTTAAAGTATGTAGTAAAATGTTGTTGGCATGATTCATAAGGAATTCTTTTACTATTTTTACTAAGGGTGCAAACATATTGCCGAGTTGTAACCTATTGTTACGACACCTATATGACGTGAAAAGGTTGTAACCCTTGC